AATTTCTGAAAGGGATTTTAACCTCTTCCGTTTGTGAGTGTCTGTGAGCAGATGGCGTATGCCATGATGCCTGCAAAAACTTGACAATGTTTAGGCTGCTAATGTGCAGAAAGCACTGCCTGCCATGCTGACAAATATTGTCTCATTGTTTACTTGTACTCCCCTGTCTGTCCCTATATCTGTTGTCTCTTGACATATAAAGATTATAAACCCCTTGTGGCAGGAACCAGCTTTTTGTTCTGTTTCTACAGCTCCTCGCACAATCGGGTCCTGGTCTATGATTAGTGTCCTGAGGCACCAGGGGAATGCAAATAATAAATAACTCCTCTGATAAAATCGTTATCCGAAATGTATTCAATTAAAATAGTTCAGAATTATTTACTCTATGGCTAGGTCATGAATATTTGAATTATGTGGTGTCTTTCTGAAAGTCCCAGGTCCTGATGTCAGGTGATTACATGAAACTGTCAATTTTCTTTTTCTTTTCTTCTTTTTTTAACCAAACTTTCTAGCCCTTGTGGTTGTGGAGCAAACTTCAAAAGATGACTCTTCAAAGGGTTAAAAACCAGAAGGCGAATAAAACTAACCCAGCGTGTTTCGTTTTACTCTCCTGGCTTCGCAGGTTCTGGGGCTCGTTGTTTTTGGGTGCTTGGTGCCAGCGATCGGAGCGAGTCGGGAGCTGGCAAGTGAACGGGGGAGGAGGTCTCTGGCCCAGGGAGCATATTTCAAGAGGAAGGGCCATTTTCTCCCCTGATTGACACCGCCCTCTAATCCGGGCGCTGTAGGCCTTGCGAACCCGGTTAACAGGTCCTCCAGGAACCTGGCAAAGAGCCCGCGGCACCCTATAGACTAACAGACCTCTGGGAGCAGGAGCTTTGGAGGGTGGAAGCCCACTTCACCGGGGGCATGCAGGCAGCCAGGGCTTTGGGACAGAGAGCTTAAACCAGGGCAGGTCTTTGCGGAATAAAGTCTGCCAGCCCTGGAAGGCGCTTCTCAGGAATCTTTAATTCCCGGAGACTTCAGGCCAGTCCGGGGGGGGGCAGACCTAGGGCCATCGGCTGGACGGGAACTGAAACTAGCTCCCTTGAGGTGCAAGGCTGGGGGGGGCGGGGTGCTGTGCGCCCGGGGGGGGGGTGTCTTGGCCGGGGAGGGGAGTCCCGGGGGCAGAGGGGGGCTACAGGGGGCGGATCCTGGCCGCGCGGGATTCACGTTGGGCCGCAGGACACCACACACACCCCCTCCTCTGGCGGGGGCAGGCTGCTGGCCAATAGGCGACGGCGTGGCCTGCACAGCTCTGCTCCGATTGGTGCAGGCCGGTGTCACTCGCCGGGGAAGGCGGGTCGCTGAGCGTGTGGAGCGGCCGGGCTTTTGTTGGTGACCTTCGGAGGACGGGAGCGGTGGGGAGGCGCCGCCTGAGCCCCGAGCAGTAAGTGCGGCGGGGGAAGGAAGGGGTCGGGGGCCGGCGGTGGGGTGAAGGAAGGGGTTGGGGGCGGTGGGGTCGGGGGCCGGTGGTGGGGCGGGGGAAGGAAGGGGTTGGGGGCGGTGGGGTGGGGGGAAGGAAGGGGTCGGGGGCCGGTGGTGGGGCGGGGGAAGGAAGGGGTTGGGGGCGGTGGGGTGGGGGGAAGGGGGGGGGGGGGGGGCCGGTGGTGGGGTGGAGGGAGGAGGGGTCGGGGGTGAGGTGGGGGGGGGTGGGGTGGGGGGGAAGGAAGGGGTCGGGGGCCGGTGGTGGGGTGGAGGGAGTGAAGGGGTCGGGGGTGAGGTGGGGGCCGGCGGTGGGGGGGGGGGGAAGGAAGGGGGTGGGGGCGGGGGCCGGCGGTGGGGTGGGGGGGAAGGAAGGGGTCGGGGGCCGGTGGTGGGGCGGGGGAAGGAAGGGGTCGGGGGGTGAGGTGGGGGCCGGTGGTGGGGTGGGGGGAGTGAAGGGGTCGGGGGTGAGGTGGGGGCCGGCGGTGGGGTGGGGGGGGAAGGAAGGGGTTGGGGGACAGGGCGGGGGCCGGTGGTGGGGTGGGGGGAGTGAAGGGGTCGGGGGGTGAGGTGGGGGCCGGCGGTGGGGTGGGGGGGGAAGGAAGGGGTCGGGGGCCGGCGGTGGGGAAGGAAGGGGTCGGGGGGCCGGTGGTGGGGCGGGGGAAGGAAGGGGTTGGGGGACAGGGCGGGTGCCGGTGGTGGGGTGGGGGGAGTGAAGGGGTCGGGGGTGAGGTGGGGGCCGGCGGTGGGGTGGGGGGGAAGGAAGGGGTCGGGGGCCGGCGGTGGGGTGGGGGGGGAAGGAAGGGGTCGGGGGACAGGGCGGGGGCCGGTGGTGGGGTGGGGGGAGTGAAGGGGTCGGGGGTGAGGTGGGGACCGGCGGTGGGGTGGGGGGAAGGAAGGGAGCGGGTGCTGGTGGTGGGGTGGGGGGAGTGAAGGGGTCGGGGGCTGGCGGTGGGGTGGGGGGAGTCAAGGGGTCGGGGGGCAGGTGAGGGGAATTAAGGGGTTGGGGGGCCAGCTGTGGCAGGGTAGGAGTGTGCAAGACTTTATGCATGGTGGTGGAGGGTATGGAAGGAGCCGCTGTGCAAAGTTGGGGAGGTGGATGTTTTCCATCGCTGTGGTTTCTGTAGAAACCTGCCCAGCTTTCACGGTGATGGTGAGCACTTTCCTTTCCCCTAGCTGGAGAGATAAGGAGTGCACCCTACAACAGCTGGAAGAAGGCCTCCCTGGACTCAGGGTTGCATCTCCTACCCCCAGCTTTTGTTGGGGCCACAGGGTTAATTTCCCAAAGAAGCCTCTGAGAATTGTTGCTGAAGTTAAGGGAAGTGGAAGTTACAGACTCAGCCCAGCTTAAAGGAAATGACCCCTTGCCTGGACTTTGCTCCACTTAAAGTAAACTTAAACATGTCTCTTTAGAAACCCATAGAGAGGACAGTGCACAGAGAGTTTGCAGATCATGGGGCCCATTCGTGGTTTCTGGGCACTCGTGCTCTAGCACTGAGTCTGGCAATAAACCCTCTAACCAACTGATGTGTAGCCAAAGTAGTGTGGAAAGAGTGTCAGGGTAGGTGTTGGAGAGGGTCAGATGTCCAGAGTACGTGGGTGGGGGGAAAAGGGGGGCCGGATGTTTGTCACTCTGACCCCTATGTGAGATCCAGGACTGTGCCGTGTGTGTGCACACAGGAATGGCTGGCCGGAGTCAGGAGCAGAGTCTGAGGGAAGAGCTGACCTGTGCCATCTGCTGTGAGCTTTTCAGTGACCCTGTCATGCTGGATTGCATGCACCATTTCTGCAGGGCATGCATCCAAGGCTACTGGGGCAGGTGCCCCCGTGTGGCTTCCTGCCCCCAGTGTCGAAGGGAGTTCTCCAGCCGCACCTTTCGCCCCCACTATCTGGTGTCGGGGGTTGTGGAGAAGGTGCGGAAGTGCAGCTCAGAGGACCACAAGAGAAAAATGCAGGTGAGTGGCTGTTGGCATGCCTATTTAGAAGGCATCAGTCATGCCTCAGCACAGCATAGAGCCAATATCTGACGTGTCTCTTACCCACCCACTTCTCTGAGGCTGGTTCATTCAACCATGAAACCACATACGCATCCTTCACCTGGGCAGAGCATGATGAAGACACTCTCTGTTTCTCTTACTGACTCGTTCCCTATTCCTCTTTCTAGCGCCTGGCGAGTTGCAGTCTGTAATTTAGCTTTTGTGCTGTTGCTTCTCTTGCATTGCTCACTTGTTGCTGCCTTGTGACATTGATCACACATTGTTATTGTTTGTAACATGTAGGGACCCCATCCAAGATTAGGGATCCATTATGCTAGGTGCTGTACAAACAAGTGATAAGAGACTCCTTGCCACAGAGAGTTCAAAACAAACAAATGTTAAACCCCATGCAAACTTATATCTCCAGCTCTTATGTATCCTGAGTCTGGAGTTTCCCCAACCCACTGGATTCACATGTGTGTAAAAAATCAATTTAGCTCGTGAATATATACCTCAGGTTGGTTGGTTGATTGATTGTTCTTGCCTTATGTCTTTGTAGTCTTTGATTTAAACAGCTGCTACTTGCCCTTCTAGAGTCAGTGCCATACATGTAGGCTGCTCCACTATAAATCCATGGTATGCCCACATCTTGAATACTGCATGCAAATATGGTCCCCCCATCTCAAAAAAGGTATATTGGAACTGGAAAAGGTTCAGAAAAGGGCAATACAAATGATTAGGAGTATGGAATGGTGTCCATATCAGGAGAGAGTAATAAGACTGGGACTTTTCATCTTGGAAAAGAGACAAGGGGGGGAGATGATAGAGGGCTATAAAATCATGACTGGTGTAGAGAAAGTAAATAAGGAAGTGTTATTTACTCCTTTTCGTAACACAAGAACTAGGGGTCACCAAATGAAATGAATAGGCAGCAGGTTTAAAACAAAAGGAAGTATTTTTTCATATAATGCACAGTCAACCTGTGGAACTCCACACCATCCTCTGGCAAGAAGGCCAAGACTGTAACAGGGTTCAAAAAAGATCTGGATAAGTTCATGGAGGATAGGTCCATCAATGGCTATTAGCCAGGATGGGCAGGGATGATGTCCCTAGCCTGTGTTTGCCAGAAGCTGGGAATGGGCGACAGGGGACGGATCACTTGATGATTACCTGTTGTGCTCATTCCCTCTGAGGCACCTGACATTGGCCACTGTTGGAAGACCGGATGCTGAGCGAGATGGACCTTTGGTCTGACCCAGTCTAGCCATTCTTATGTTGTTATGTAAAACAGCAGAGTAGTGAAATGGTCTCCTTTAATTTTTCCTTCTTAGAAACATCTTGAAAATGCGCTGCGAGCTCACCAGAGAGAGATGGAGAACTTTGTGCGAATGAAGCACACGGCGGAGGAGGATATTTGCAGTCTGACGGTAATGCCAGTTCTCCCAGCTACGCTTGTGTAGGCTCCATGGCAATGCCATTCACTTGGATAAGGGAAGACTGGGAGGTTACTGGTAGAAGCACTGCACGCCCAAGAGCCCCCTGTAATAATGTACTGGCCCTATGCTTCACACTGCTGCTACTACAAGCTTGCCTGCAGGGTGAGTAAGGGTCAGGCAGGATATAATCAGAGCTCTTCTACCTGGAGAAAAGAATAAAAATAGATTATTATCAAAAGCTGAGTTATCTGGGGCCTTGAACAGCCTGACCAATAAGCAGGCTCACAGCAGATACCTACCGTCACTGTCGTCTTATGCCAAGTATCGTTGTTAGACTATGGGCAAAAGATTAAAACCAGCAAAGTAAAAATACTGCGGAGACAGCAAAAAACAGCTCCCCAGTCAAGGTAACACTTGATCTGCTGAGATGCTTTTGCAGGAGGGAAGATGAATAACTGTAATTGAAGCGAGTAAAGAGATAGCCATAGGGTAATTACAGACGAGTGTACAAAGCCAGCTAAAGGCTCCTGAACCTTAGTAAAATACGTCAGAGCTTTTCCTCACCAGTGCTACGTTTTGAGCCAAAGGATCTGTCAGATTTCCCTAAGCCATGTGATAGTTTAATTTGGGGCATACCTTTATAGTTGCGTATAAATAGCTCATTGGGTAACAATCAGCAGTGTCTGTGTGTCTAGCTCTTGTGGCTTTAGTCAAGATTGCTGATATATATAAAAAATTTATACAAATCATAATGGAGTGAGAGGCAAAGTTCTGCTGTGAATAGAAACTGGCTAAGTCAGACTGCAAAGGAGTAGGAACAAATGATCAATCTGTGCCATGGTGAAAGATTAGCAGTGCGGGTGCCCGAAGAGTCCAGGCTAGGACCAGTGCTGTTTCATAGGTTAGCGGTTTGGAAAAGGGGGTGAGCAGTGAGGTAGCAAAGCCTGTGGTTGACATAAAATTATGTAAATCAGAGGAGATGAAAGAGCTTCAAAGGAACGTAGACAACCTATGTGAACAAGCCACATGATGGCAGATGATATTCAGTGTTGACAAATGCAAGGTAGCCATAATTGCACAATGGAAGCAATAATTTGAGTTCTGAATTAGCTGTAATCACTCAGGAAAAAGCTGCAAGGTTCATTATGGACCTCTCAGTGAAAGCCACCATTCAGTCTGCTGCAGCAGACAAACCAAATAATGGGGGCGAGAATAATACTGACTATTGTGATGCTGTTATAAATCAACAGTGTGTTCTCATGTGGAATATTTCCTTAAGTTCTGGTCACCTCATCTGAAAACAGATATAGCAGAACTAGAGGGGCAGGGGAGTTCAGAGACCAGCAAGGAAAACAGTTAGGGGCCAGGAGAGACTGAAAATGTAGATTTCAGAGTAGCAGCCATGTTAGTCTGTATTGTGGCACCTTAGACTAACCAATTTATTTGAGCATAAGCTTTCATGAGCTACAGCTCACTTCACTTAGTCTCTAAGGTCCCACAAGTACTCCTTTTCTTTTTGAAAACATAGAGTTGTTTAAATGAGATGAGGGATAGCGAGAGATGCATACCAAATGCTACAGAGAAGGTAAATTGAGTGCATCCATTTACCCCTTCTCATAAAACAAGAATAGGTGCATTTTTGGTGAAGCTCAAAGGTAGTATGTTTAAAACTGACAAAAAGCAATGTCTTACCTGACACATAATTAACCTGTAGAATTAATTACTCAGAGATGGCGCACACATCTCTGTCTGAGTTACCGTTTCAAATGCAGAAGCCTAGAGCCCCACTGCAGCTCAGGACCTCCGGCTAGGGATAAAATTTTCAAAGGTTCCAAAGTGACTTATGAGACCAACTCACATTTTCCAAGTTTATTTTTGAGACTTAGGCCCTCTTGAAAATGTTAACCTAGGTCTAGAATTTACGACCTGTAAGTTGATTAATAGGCAGCAGGTTTAAAACAAACAAAAGGATGTATTTTTTCACACAATGCACAGTCAGCCTGTGGAACTCCTTGCCAGAGGATGTTGTGAAGGCCAAGACTAGAACTTATCCAGATCTTTTTTGAACCCTGTTAAAGGAGGATAGGTCCATCAATGGCTATTAGCCAGGATGAGCAGGTATGGTGTCCCTATTCTCTGTTTGCCAGAAGCTGGGAATGGGTGATGTGATGGATCACTTGATGATTCCCTGTTCTGTTCATTCCCTCTGGGGCACCTGGCACTGGCCACTGTTGGAAGACAGGATACTGGGCTAGATGGACCTTTGGTCTGACCCAGTATGGCTGGTCTTATGTTCTTATTACTCCCAGATTGTTGTCAAAGCAATTCAGACAAGGTAATTGAGTTCAAAGAGGTAATTTGAAAAGCTTAGTTCAGTGACTTTACTTCTGAGAACCTTAGTGGCATCCAAGTGGTCCCAAAGCAGGGTTCCAGTGGTGCCTCTAGCAGAGAGGGCTGGAGGAAGGCTTCCCTTCTATCCCCTCTCTGGCTATATTACACTGATTTCTCTAATTAAATACTCCTGCAAAGGCAGCTGGGTTTTGCCCCTCCCTCTGCCACCCACTGCTCATTTTGAGTCTTAATCCAAAGAGCCACTCAGTGTAGAATAAGGCCTGCTCTGCACCTAAAATGTAGGTCGACCTAGCAACATTGCTCTGGGATGTGAAAAATTTTGCACCCTGTGCAGCCTAGTTAGGTCAACATAACTCCTACTGTAGAAGCATCTCGGTCAATGGAATAATTTTTCTGTTGACCTAGCTACCGCCTCTCAAGGGGTGCATTAGATCAGCAGAAAATAACCTTCCATCAAATATCTGCGCTACAATGATGCAGCTGCAGCTATGCCACTGTTACACTTGCAGTGTAGACATAGCCTAAATGTCAGCCTGCAGCAAAGCTGTGCGTCCTGCAAGCTCAAGTCAGTTGGTACAGAAAACAAATGCTTATTGGTGGTGCTTTAACAGTGTAATAAATTCCTTTGGAGAAAATAATCTCCTTGTGAAAAGTTCTGTAAAGGCAGGGCGGGGGCGGCACTCAGAATACCATCCTTATGGAACCCACTTACCATTTAGGCTTCAGGCCTACTCTGACTGGACACATTCACTTTAATGCACCTTATCCTTCGTGGCCCCGTGTGTTGATTTCACAGGAGAGTCTTCAGTTTTGGTCGAGCTCTTCTGCATCCCAAAACGTAAATATAACCATCTCTGGTGGTCTGAGCAAGTCACTGGCTGGCCATTGTGGATTAGACCTGTGCCACAGAGCTTGCAAAACGATCAGCAGTGGCCTAGTTGCTGGTATGCCATGACCACAGCTTATCACACTGGCCATAATTGTCTCATTGTTACCTAGTACCTGTTTGTATCCACCTGCTACATTTCATCATATGCTTGCATAGTAAGTGTGATAGGTTGCCCCCCACTTTAAGGTGCCACCTGATGTACTGGGATACCACTGAGCCTGCCTGTTCCGCCAGCCTGGGCCCCTTTATCCTGTTTTACTCAGTCAGGCTCTTAACCCTCCTCTAGCTCATATGGAGGCAGGGCTACAACTAGCTGCAGAAAGACACACACACTGAGATCAGTTCTGGAAAGACTCAGCTTAAGGGACTTGTCCCAGAACTCAGGTGCCCACCTCCCTTGGAGTGCATACCCTAAGATATATTGTCTTGCGCTGTGTAGACAGATCTGCACAGCACAAGCTCATAAAAATTCACCCTCTCCCTCAGTGTGAAGAGAGAGATGCACAGCTTCTTGCCCCCACCCCTCAAATTATGAATTTCACAAACTGGGTTATGTTATAAACAAGAAATAAGTTTAACTACGAAAGACAGATTTTAAGTAATTTATAAGGGATAGCAAACAGAACCAAGCAGATTACTGAACAAATAAAACAAAACACGCATACTAAGCTTAAGATCTTAGAGACTGGTTTCAAGAAGTAATTTCTCACCCGAAATGTTGTTTTAGGTAAATTGCAGAGTTTCTGTAGCTTAGAGTCCCAGTTATTTCTTCTTACAGACTGGACCCCCGTCTCAGTGTGGACTCACCCCTGCCTTTCCCTTCAGGTTAGTTCCTTTGTCCCTCCAGGTACTTTCAGCAGTCTTTCTTCTTGGGTAGGCAACGGAGGAGAGTCTAGATTAACCCCCTCCCCAGCCTTAAAAAGGATTTATCTAAGGCAGGAAACCTTTTTTTGATCCCCATCCTCCCTACAGAGGAAAAGTACCAGCAGTGTCCAAGGTGGTATTTTGTATCCGGTGACAGGACCACCAGACCTGATAGCGTCCCAGCTCCCTCTCAGGAAGGAGCGGGATTAGTATCTTCACAGTCTTACTGGTTCTTCATAATGGCCCATCAAGGCTGTGATGGCCAGTTGCCTGGTGGGTGTCTCCCAAATACACAGCCAGTTGTGATTGTTACATAGTCAATATTCCTAACTTTAGATACAGAAATGATGCATGCATACAGATTGGATAATCACATTCAGTAAATCATAACCTTTCCAGTGATACCTTACAAGACCCATCTTGCATAAAATATATCTTAGGCCATATTCATATCATAACCGTATTCCTGTGAAGAATATGGGATATAACATCACAGTGAGTACTTTAGGGCAGGGACTGTGTTTGCTACTGTGTGATGGTGGTATACAGTTCTGTGACCGGGGCGCCTCTAGGCATTAACATTATGAATACAGAGATGTAAATAAAATAGTGTGGTACAGACTAACTGAAACAGGATTTATCTCTCTTCATTGTGGTTTTAGTCTTGTTATTGGGAATGACTAAAAGTAGCAGTTGCTGGACCAAACAATCCATCTAAAAAGCAGGCGCATCCCTGATCCACTCTGTCTAAGCAGGTGAAATTAGTCCCTTTGCTAATGCCTTTGGATGCTGTTGCACTTTCACTGATTGTCATAAATATAAAGGGAAGGGTAAACCCCTTTGAAATCCTTTCTGGCCAGGGGAAAGCTCCTCTCACCTGTAAAGGGTTAAGAAGCTAAAGGTAACCTCGCTGGCACCTGACCAAAATGACCAATGAGGAGACAAGATACTTTCAAAAGCTGGGAGGAGGGAGAGAAACAAAGGGTCTGTGTGTCTGTCTGTATGCTGGTCTTTACCGGGGATAGACCAGGAATGGAGTCTTAGAACTTTTAGTAAGTAATCTAGCTAGGTATGTGTTAGATTATGATTTCTTTAAAT